TTCTAGATAGATGTGACAATACTTAGCAGAATTTCAAACGGTACATCAAAGCAGTGAACCATGTCAAATTAGACTATGTTCCTTGCTTGATGATTAAATTTTTTTACTGTTTTAAAAATACACGCACTCTCTATTACAAGCTATCGAAGATTGTTATCCTTGCAGCTTCGACTTTGAGTAGTGAATTTTCGAAGGTTTCAGTAGTGATTGTTGATGTTAGTGTAACGGTCCAGTCTGATTTGTCCCTTTTTTCCCTCTGCAAAATAGCAACCCGTCGTGCACGTGACAATCAAAGAAAAGCGGTAATTTAGCGAAGGCGCTTTTCTCACACATATGCAAATGTGTTAGGGCAACTCTGCGAAAACATTACCATATAAGGAGCGTGACGTCATGACCGTGGGAAATATATTGTTTACAATGCAAAATCAACAATTATAAAGTTTTTCGAATGAACAAAAGCACTTTTTTAGTCAATTTTGATGCGCTGATCCTGAATTTCATATCGTTATAAGTCTCAAGTCGGTATTTATTAGTTTAATTTAATTTACAAGTTAATATTGAGAATAAATTATTTAAGATAAAATAATAGTACTATCGGCAGGATGCACATGTGCGCTGCAGAACTCTACTTTCTAAAGATGCTCGCAATTTGGCTACTCCGGATGACGCGATCGTAAAATCGCTCTGATTGTCTCCAGCATCCGAAAATTGCCAGATCCGCGAGCCGAAAACTGCCGTTCACAGGAAAAATTGTCTTTATTCAGCTGTACGCAGTTTTTCATCATAATTTACGAGCTAAATGTGTGGTCGGTATTTTTTTGTCTTATTCTTTTTTTTTTTGAGCCGCCGTTACATTATAATTTTTTTAAACAATTAAAATTGCATTGTTAGATAGCGAGTCGATCGTACATATCTGTAAAATTAATGATTATGAATGTCACTAATTTGCTGATTTTTAAATGGCTAAAAAAGAAATTTGCAAATTCGTTTTTTAATTATTATTCGAAATTAGATAGCTATATTAATCGTTTTTAATTTGAATAACGTTCCGCTAATTACAAGCGATTTTTTTTATGTAAAAATTTTCCGTAAATTTATTGTAAAATTGGCGTAATTTGATTATTGAATTGTATTACTTATAACTCTAAAAGGCGATTTTTCCTCGAGAAGCGATTTATGTCAAAAAATTCGTTATTTCATATTTAATTTTTGAAATCATAGAAAGGAGCCCATTTCGCAAGTATAAATTCGCTCGTCGCTGCGGCAAGAGGATTCACTATCCTACCTTGCTTAGCAGCGCGAGCACTGTTTGGAAATAAAGCCTCAGCATTTTCCTGAGATAAATTTCTTTATTCAATGGTTAGCCTGCTAATTCCTCTCCTTTCGATATCTAAGTGCTCAACTCATAAGACTATCTCTCTTATGAGAAAAAAGTAGCCTTAGATATCTCCCTACCTCTAATATAATAGAGGCGCTGTCGGGCCTCTCCCCGATAGATGCAATCACGCTCAATTGCATTTCAAGACAATTCATCGAGTTAGAAAACTTTGGGTTTACTACTCGAAAAATTACCCTCGGAAATATAATTTACAAATAAACCTTACAGTTCGAAATTAATTTATTATAACGTAGAAAAGTTTAAACATTATACCGTATTTCTCCATTACATACTGAATCAAACTTTCTCAAGTGGCCACCTAAAATCCACTACTTGAATTTTATACTTGTATTAAAAATAATATCCCATATTTTTGAAAAATTGTAATTTTTATAAAAGTTATGGTCATATGAATTTTTTACGTCTTTTTATTAAAATGACTATCTCAGAAATGAAAAATTAAAATTAATGAAATTTGATACAGATATTCCTAGATATAAACACAATAATTTACTAAAAAACTTTAAAAAAAGACAACACATTATTAATAAAAAATTAATTTTGTAATAAAAAATTGAATTTTTAACTAACTTCTTGTCTAGGCAGAACAACAAATTATTTGAAGAAGGAAATTTTAGTCAATTCATAAGAACGGAAGTTATCGCGCTGAAGCGTTATGAGCGCCCGTCTCGCGGTACTTTTTTTAATTAACTCACACTCTATATTTTTAAAATTTTCTTGAATCTTTTAGGAACAAATATCATTTATTTACAATAGTGCGATTATTTACATTGTAACAGGAGGGGGTGTAAGCCGAGCAAACGGGAAAAATATTTGTACAATACGAGGGCTGCTATTTATATTTTGAGCCTTGACATACCAAGTGTTTACAGGCGCCATTTGATGTTTTCAGTTAAAAGTTTAACCTTTTTAACCATAACCGTCTTCAGAACATTTTGTCATTTCAGTACAACTTATGTTGTCTAGAGCGACTTGAAAATTTAGTCTCAGTGAAAAAATGGAATTAACTCATGAATAATTTCGTGCTATGATTTTTTCCAACTTGCGACGTAGCTTATCAAGACAAAAGTACATCGATCAACTTACTTTGACTTTTGGCGATGAAGCCCCATCCTTAATTAATTTACTTAATTATATACCCTGAAATTCACATGACTTTTGCCTCATTCGAGTACTGAATTTTTTATGGCGGCTGACTTTATGGGTCTTAGTTACTATATTTAAATTTATTGTTTAATTAAAGAATCAAGTTCTAACTAAATCATCAGTGTCTATTATTCGTTCACACCTGCACCGAAATCGTTCCTACCTATTCTTTTATTAATTTTCTGTGTTTAGATTGTTCACTTTGTAACGGAGAATCTCGGCTAGGCCGATTTCGTCCGTTTATCTATCACCAATGTCCGCGCGTCACGTCAAGCTGAGAGTGTGTGTGTACGACACGCACACTCATACTTGGCTTTTGTGTTCGAGGTGCGGTGTACGAGCTGAGCAGATGGATGGAGCGATCGGGATGGCGCGGTAGATAGAAGAGGAGAGAGAGACGTTTCGTTTTCGGAGTTACGCCCGGTACGTGGACGAAAAACAAGGTGTTGTAGCTGGATCGCGCCCAGCCGTGTCCGGAAAGAAACCCGGCATCAGTGCATATGGCTAACCGGTAAGGTGCGCGGATGCGCGCGTGAGTGGTCGGTTCGGTCACTTCAGAAACCACGGAGCAGTTAAAACAGTGGACTTTACCAGGTGAGCCTGCTCCGAAGAAGGCGAAGACGGTCCCGTCGGCCGAAAAGCAGTCGCCACGGCTAAATTGGTCGAATTACACTATTAACTGTTGCCCCATCCCCCGTATTATCCAGATTTGACTCCGTGCGACTATTTTTTGTTTCCGAACCTAAAAAATTCACTCGACGGAAAGAGATTCCACTCCAACAACGAAGTAATCGCTACCACGGAGATCCATTTTGCAGACCAAGAGAAAAAATTTTTTTCAACGCGGTTTAAAAAATTGGAACAACGTTGAAGCAAGTGTATTCAACTAAAAGGAGACTACATTGCAAAATAAATTTTATTTTTTGCAAAATTTTTATGTTTTCATTTGTAGGCTAGGTACTTGTCAAATGACCCTCGTATGTTATTGTCCATTAAAGAATTAGTGAGTTAATCCACTGTTGTTTTCGTTTGTCGTCGAGTCGCTCTTCATCCCGAATCCTAATCCGAGCGTTTAACGTGGTTTTGCTCGACTCGTTATTCAGTCGTAGAAACATTTTTTGCTTCCCGAATCCCCGAAGTAAATAATTTGTGTGGACGGCGGCGAGCTACGCAGGTGGAATGGCTGTTTCTCCGTTATAACATGCTTTATATGGATTAGAAAAAATATAAAAATGGCTTTTGGTGGGAAAACCGTGCGTTAAAATAACAGTATCATGAAAATCAATAATATTAAGAGTGCTTTTTACCTCCTTTTAGTTCAATATACCCACAAAAACCTCCTACAATTTCAGTTATTTATCAGTCATTTCTTTGTTTTATTTGATTAAATTTTTGAACAAATTCAACGATCACTTTTTTTGCTCTTAAAAAATTAAAGAGAAATTATTTTTTCCATTTTCTCAAGTCTTTATCGCAAGCAGCGTTTAATTTTATGAAACAAATAGAATGTAAACCAAACAGAAAAAATGATATTGAAGAACATGAGGAGAGCAATTTGAAGGGTAAGAATTGCTTTTCAAGATGCCGTCATTCATTTAAAAAAAAAAAAAATTTTCATAAAATTACAGGTATTGGAAAACAGCAGATAAACGTGTTTTGACGCTTTTAGGTTAGAATATTTAGAAAACTGAGGGACGTGGAGCAATGCTGAGTTTGGATTCGGATTTAGCACATCACATCCTTTCAGAAGTACCTGTTTGATTCTCTGAATCTGAGAAGTGTAATATATATACAATTATATACATAATTATAATAAAAATTAATTTTCCTAGCTGAATTTTTTTTCTATAATTTAACTTTTCTGTACAATATCGCTCCATTTTTTGAACTAATTCCAAATTTCTTTTCATAAAAATAAGTACGAAAAGGGTATAATTTTCTTTCAAACAAATACGGGTTGCAATTCTCGTGGTCGAAACTGCATGTATTCGATTTACTTATACATTAAAAGCAATACACACTGTATATCGGTAAATGATCACTTAGGACTTGCAGAATATTGAAAAGCACACGTTACTTATTTTTCTATGATCTACAACATATCAAAAGAATATTAAAATCGGATAGAAAGGAGAGGGGGAATTTCCTTGTCAGAGTTCTTAATCCACTTTTCTATCAATTCATTCTCTGTAAATGTTGAGTTGATTTTCATTCAAAAAGCATAGTTATCATGAATGTAGATTTGTATATTATATTGAAAATTTTATGTACTCGTATGTTACATATGATTATTTTATTTCGATATCGTGGTAAATTAAGGACCTAGTCTATTATAATCTGTTTTCCTTTCCTCTCCCTCCCTCCTACCTTTTTCTTCCCCCTCTCTTTCTTTTATTATATCAAGCTTTAGAATTATATTTATTGCAGAAAAAATGTTGCCGAGTATTATTTTTACCCATGAAGATTATTTCCATTGGCTGGACTCCATTTGCACCAAATATCTGGGTTTTTCCTCATTGTGCCGTCACCACTGCATGGAACATCAGCTAATATCCGATCGAATCTACAAAATAAAATAATAAATTCAATTCTATTATAATCCACGGAGTTATGTAGCCACATTAAATAAATAAGCAACCCACTCCGCGGATTTTAGTTTTGCGCGATTGTTTCTAATAACATATATAATGAAAATAAACTTGATTTAAATTGATGATACACTTGTTTACAAAAATGTAAAAAACTTTTTTATTTCGAAAATAACGAAAAATATCATTTTACGAAAACAATGAAAATAGCAAAAAGGAAATACATGTATATTAACGACACATACATATTTTTATACAAAAACATATAGGCATGTATATATTACACACACACATATACGAGTACACACATACGTATACACAAAGGGTGTCCAAAAAGTCTGGAAACACCCAAATAACTTTCCAGGTGATTTAATTTAAAAATATGTCAAAGTCACTTATGAAGTAATTTTCAACAAGAAATTTAACGGTGACCTTGGATTTGACCTTAAAGATGACCTTGCAGGATACTAGCAAGATTGAGTTTGAGGTAATTGCGATCAAACAAAACAACTAAAACCAGCTTTGGTCTATTTCCATCAATCGAGTTCTAAGAGGCCCAAGAATTGATTGACCTTTGAATGACCTTCAAGGTCAACGGGAAATTTTTGACCTTAATGGTTTTGAACATAAAATTGTGCCGCTCTTTCGATCGCTGATGTCAAAAAAGGCGCTTTCAATTTGAAAAAATTGACCAGACCTTGAAAAAATCGTTAAGGTCATCTCAAGGTCAAATCCAAGAACACTAGAATTCCTTTTTGAAAAATACTTCAAATGTGATCTTGATATATTTTAAAAATAAATCACTTGAAAAGTTATTTGAGTGTTTCCAGACTTTTTGGACACGCTGTATATTTTCAAAGATAAAAATGGAAATATAAGTAATAATCATTATAACGATTTATACGTTTATTAAATTTTATCATATTTATGACCCATTTGTATGTACATATACAAATTTATATATATAATATCTATTTAATAATTACATAATTCTTCTACAAATGACGTATGTTGCATAGCTGAAATACTGTTAGTAAAGAATCGTCATATCTTGGATTCTCTCGATGTTATAATTATTCTCTTAGCAAAAGTCAAAAACAAAATATTGCATGAATTTTAGGTGTGAGAGCTATACCTGTGGAAAAGTAATTTTTTTTTATTTTTCAATGGTGTTTTCAAATATAGGTTACAACGATTACCGAAAATCGTAGGACTCGCGCGAGGTAATGAGCGGCTAAACGAGAGTAGCCGCGCTCGGTTCGTGAGAGAGAGAGAGAGAGCGTAGGGGCAATGACCGGGAGGGGAGGCAGCGACCGGTAGTATGACTGTGCCACTCAGTCAGTTCGCGCGCCTAACCTATTTAGAGCCGTTCAGATTACGTGCGTGATTTTGATTCCTGGTGAGAGTGCGAACTTCGGTGCGGTGTGCAGCAGCAGCAGCAGCAATAGCAGTAGCAGCAACTGCGATAGCAGCAACTGCAGCAGCATCAACAGCAGCAACATCAGTGGCGACAGCAGCAACAGCAATAACAGCATTCGAGGCGGTGCAGCGAGCAGCGTAGCGGCGTTCCAACGATTCGTCGTCCGGATACGGTTGGCCACCGTATCCACATCGTCCTTGCGGTAGGTGCACCTTCCCCTTTTTGATTGTTGTTATAATTTGCGTGCGAATCCGCGCAGCGAGCGCGAAGAATTTATTGTTGCGTGCGAGCAGGTAGTTCGCGGGAATCGCGGTTTTTTCTCTCTCTCTCGATCAGCGTGTGTTGTCATTCACGCGTGCGTGCGTAAGCCTCTCGGCCGATTCCCCGTATAAATTAATTGCTTAAATAAAGTACATCTTTGTCATTATTTTCGAGTTCGATAGTCGTTATTGTGTTTTCCTTTGTCCGGAGGTCGCGCCAGTGTTTATTTTCAGGGGATTCGAATTCGCCGGTTGCGAAGCACGAATCTTGCGATTATCGATAGACGCGAGTCGATGACTTAGGTTCCGGTGGCGGCCGCACGAGCGCTACTAGTAAGAGCGACAGCGCCGCCAAGTGGCGAGTTGAGGGAACCCAACTCGGAACAGCGAAGAGACTCTGCGCAGGCGCACTCCGAGGCAAGGTAGGTTACTGTGCTCTAAGCACATAGATAACAAGGCTTCGTCTAGTTGAAATAAGGGCACTTTCTGGAGATTATCGACTAAACGACAGCCTGTTACAAGGTTTAAAATCATTTCCAAATCAGTCATGTATTACGTCTTAAATCTTCCAATAATGCTACATACTTAATAAGAAAAATATTTTTAAATTGTAACGAATTTCCTTCTAAACAACAATCATAATAAGTTTTTTTTCTCGGAAATCTAAGTTATTATAGATACAAGAGAAACGACGTTTGATTAATACAAATCAATTACTAATTTTTTTTCTATTCAGCAACATTTTGTCACCAATTTATCTGACTTCTTTAGACTTTATTGCAAAAAACAAGAGAAACAAATTAGCGAACTTGATACAATATAGAATCGTAATGATTAATTAGAAAAACGTTTTTTACTTAATTTCTCAAGTAGTCAAGTTACGAGGGTGGGTCAATAAGTCCTTAGAAAATCCAAGAGATAACGCTCAAAGATCCCAACATATATTGCACCAGCAAGCATCACTATTAAATGAAGTGCTGCCGAAGTTTCAGCCAGATCCATCAAGTACTTCTGTTTTTATCGTCGATTAAAGCGAATAACTTTTGTTTCTTGTTAATAATGGAAAAAAGTGAGTTCCGAGCGGTGATAAAACATTTCTATTTAAAAGGCCTAACACCGAAAGAAATCAAAGTTGAGTTAGATGCAGTTCATGGTGTATCTGCCCCTGTGTATTTACAATTGGATAAATGAATTTAAACGTGGCCGTACATCAACTACAAATGACCATCGTTCAGGCCGTCCTATAGACGTGAGCACTCCGGAAGTGATCAGTAAAATCCACGACATGGTGTTGAATGACCGAAGAATAAAAGTGCGCGAAATATTTGAGGCCACAGGGTTTTTAAAAGGTACAGTCATTTCGATTTTGCATATGGATTTTGGATATGAGAAAAATTTCGGCAAGAGGGGGCCGCGTCTGCTCTCAGTCGAGAACAAGCGCAGTCAAGTGGTGGCCACTGAGATCATCTTGGCGCGTATCCACCGTAATCCAGATGACTTTCTGCGTCGATTCATAATTGTAGACGAAACGTGGATACACCACTACACTACTGAGATGAATGAACAGTTAAAACAGAGGATTGTCAAAGGTCAACCAGCTCCAAAGAACGCGAAGATAATGAAATCGACCGGCAAGGATATGGCCACTGTTTTTTGGGATGCACGCGGAATTATCTTCGTCAACTATTTAGAAGAAGGACAAACAATCACCGGAGAGTATTATACATCGTTGTTGAACCAGTTAAGCGAGAAAATAAAGGAAAAACGTCCTCAATTGAACAAAAAAAAATTCTGTTTCGCCAAGACAATGCACAGGTACACACTTGCTTAGTTTCCGTGGCTAAAATTAAGGAATTGAAGTTCGAATTAGTAGACCATCCACCGTATTCACCAGATTTAGTCCCTAGTGACTTTTTTTCCAAACATAAAAAAGCGGCTTACCGGACAACAATTCATCTTGAACGAGCAGGTCAAAACACAAACCAATGATTATTTTGAGGAACTTCCAAAATTAGTTTATTTTGATGGTTTAAAAAAACCTTGAAGGATGCCTGGAAAAGTGTGTCGAGCTAAAAGGAGATTATGTTAAAAAATAAAAAATCTACCAAAAAAAATTGTTTTTCTATCTTTTTCTAAAGACTTATTGATTCACCTTCGTATTAGAGGCTAGAGGAAAGTATTCCTTGCCAGTCAAAATACAACTGAAAAATCAGACATTGTACATGTGCAAAAATCGTAATCTATAATCATTTTTTCATTGAATTCAATAGTGAATTATATATATATATATATATATATATATATATATATATATATATATATATATATATATATATATATATATATATATATATATATATATATATATATATATATATATATATATATAATTTATATGATATATATATATATATATATATATATATATATTGTGATGGTAAACGTCTTATTAGCCCTAACGGCCCAACCATGCGGCTGCCCGCGAGGGCAGCACCTACCGGTTGGGGAAAATGTGTGACGAGGGAATTCGGCACGCGACGGGACGGAACGCGCGCGTATGAAAATGAGGCAGTCGAGGATCAGCTATCGAGATCGCCTGAGAAGAGTAGAGGATTAGCTACCGGCACGCTTAGCCAGGAGTGCAAGATAAGAACCCGCACACTTAGCTGCTACCAAGAAGGACGAAAGTTTTCCCGAGTTTTCCGGAGCGCAGAGATAACGAGAGACGAGCTGTGCCATAGCCTGACGGAGCTGAGTGCGTGCTAGCGTGCGTGAGTGAGCAGTTTCGCCATCGAGGGCGAAACTGAAAACGCATATACGTTCGCCGAAAGACTAGTGTATGCCGCAAGAGCCTCCTTCGCCGTATCACTTGTTTCCGCACGAGCGCAGGCACGCGGCGTTGAGGGCGACGTGTGAACTCGCGTCGTCGCTCTTTATTGTTAAAAGTCGAGAATAAATATTGTTAACGGTTATCGCGAGTGATTATTGTGTGCGCCTTACATTCCTTTCCTCTCAAGCCAAAGCCCAAAACGCTAATTTAATGACGAGGCCCATCGTCATCGTTCAGAGGAGTGAAAGAGCCTCCCTTACCTTCCCCTTTCAAAACAATTTGTGATACGACGCTTGGGCACGGGCCTTTGCATTGCTCGTGGGAATTACAATTCCCCATAACGCGTTAGATTTTGAATCTCCAGTGTCACATGGCATCCCTTGTGGGGAAAGCTGAAAGAATTGGCAATTTATGGGCTGAGAGGAACGGAGTGCGGATGGAAACGCACTTGTGAATTTTAAAATC